GGAGGGATTTGGGGGAGAACAGGGTGGTTTTGGGGCAGAGAGCAGGGTTGTTTTTGGTGAAAGAACGCCGTGGATTTGGGGCCCAGAACAGGGTGGTTGAGGGGCAAGAACTAGAGGGGTTTTGGGGAAAGAACAGGGTGGTTTTGGGGCAGAGATCGCGGTGTTTTGGGGCACAGAACGGGGTGATTTTTGGGAGAGAATGGGGTGGTTTTTGGGCAGAGATCGCGGGGTTTTGGGGTACAGAACGGGGTGATTTTTGGGAGAGAACGGGGTGGTTTTGGGGCACAGAACGGGGTGATTTTTGGGAGAGAACAGGGTGGTTTTGGGGCAGAGATCGCGGTGGTTTTGGGGTACAGAACGCAGTATTTTGGGGCACAGATCGCCGTGGTTTCGGTAAACAACACGTGACGGTTTTTGGGGTACAGAACGCGGTGCTTTTGAGGGGGAACCCCCCCAAATTTTTGTCTGCGGCGCAGGCGGGTTCGGTGCGAGTCACATCAGGGGGAATCCCGCGGCTCCCGCTGCCTCTGGGCGCTTTTGGGTCGGATTTGGGGCCGTTTTTGGGGCCGTTTTGGGTCCGTTTTGGGAGGGAACAGCCCCGGACTTCCCGAGGGGATCCAGCGGCTCCCGGTGCCTCAGGAACGGGGGAGATTGCGGTGGTTTTGGGGCAGAAATCGCGGTGGTTTTTGGGCACAAACCAGGGTGGTTTTGGGGCAGAGACGAAGTCACTTTTGGGACCGTTTTGGGGGCACTTTTGGGTCGGTTTTTGGGCACTTTTGGGGCCGTTTTGGGCCACTTTTGGGGCCGTTTTGGGCCACTTCTGGGTCACTTTTGGGGACACTTCTGGAGCCATTTTGGGGCAACTTTTGGGGCACTTTTGGTCCTTTTGGTGACTGTGATGCCACAGGAGTCTGTGCTTGGTGCTCCAGGGATTTCCGTCACTTTTGGGTCACTTTTTCGTCGGGTTTTGGGTCAGTTTTGGGGTGGTTTTGACGCTGCTTTGGGGCAGTTTTGAGGCAGTTTTTGGACCGGTTTTGGGTCGGTTTTAGATCAATTTTGGGTCAGGTTTTGGAGCAGTTTTGAGGCTGCTTTGGGCCAGTCTTGAGGCAGTTTTTGGGTCACTTTTGGGTCAGGTTTTTAGGTCACTTTAGGGCCATTTTGGGTCAGCTTTTGGATCAGTTTGGGGTGATTGTGATGCAGTTTAGGGTCACTTTTGGGTGACTTTTGGGTCAGGTTTTGGGGCGCTTTTGAGGCAGTTTTTGGGTCACTTTTGGGTCACATTTGGTCAACTTTTGGGTTGGTTTTGGGCCACTTTAGGGCTGCCTTTGGGCCACTTTAGGGCCACTTTTGGGCCATTTTTCGGTCCCTTTAGGGCCACTTTTGCGCCACTTTTTGGTCACTTTTCGGTCACTTTTGGGGTATTTTTGGTGCACAGTCCCCGTTCCCAATCCCATGAACCCCGGGCTGTTTTCACTCACGGGCCCCGCTCAGAATTTCCCGTTTCACCGGAAATTGCAGAAATCCCTCGCTGCTGCTTCCCCTTTTCACTTCCCTC